TTGGTCTGGACCCAGAGGGATTTCACAAAGCTCCAGTCTGTATTTGACTTGGCAGCATGTTCTCAGCTTGTCAGGCTCTGCCATGGCTTTGAAGAAACTTTCCCTCAGCCCTTTTTGTAGCATCATGACACTCCACTCCATTCTGAGTCAGAACAAACATCCCTCAACAACTCCGCAGCCTGACGCCGTTAGGAAAGTAAATCATCTGAGTTGGTTCAGATGGTCAGATTACAGTTTATAGACTGGCTGCAGCTGTGCCGTGGAAAATATGAATTTTTAAACAGAGAAGCATAGAAAAGTATTGTCAATGTAAAGTAAAGTAGGATTTTATGATTTAATTCTGCATGATCAGAACTGAGTCACATACTAATTACTCGGAGGTGGTGTCTGTCAGTGTGCCCCAAGGCAGCTGTGACTACGATGTAGCTCACGAATCACTGTAGTGCAGTTGAACCTCAACTGGTGGCCAGTGGGCCACATCCAGCCCACCAGACCTTTCCAACAGAGATAGGTGTAGGAGGCTGTCTTCATGTTCAACCTGCATGAACTCAGGGGGATCGATCATTTTCAAAAATAATAGGCAAAAACTGTTATTTCAGGGAACTTGCTCTTTCAAGTATGCTCTTCTACTGTCGTGTCTTTGCAATGTGTGATTTTGTGTTGTCCTCTTCACATCATGCATAGACGTCGCTGTCATTTGTTGTGCTAGTCTGTTTAGTTTCTTGCATCAATGCCGCCGTCATAGAAGTGTCAATTACTTTTGCAAAGAGAACTTTTAAAACCTGATGCCATGAGAAACCATTGCAGAACCTGACTTTGGGCCTGCTGTTGATAACCACCTGCATGGTTGTTTTTATTAACTTTTCTTTTTTCCTTTTGTCTGGAGCCCACATAGCCCATTTCATCTAGAACAAATCAAGAAATGCTGATTAGAACACAACATATGACCCAACTGTGTAAAGCTCTCTACCAGATCAGAATTTTAAATGCAATGAATGAATGAAATCCATGAACAGTAGAGGTCAACAGGCCTGGTTTGATCCAGTTCATTTCAGTACATTCCTGTTCAATACAAAAATAATTCCCATCTGTCTTTTTTTGTGACTGAAGGCTTTTGTTATTCCACACTGCAGCAGTAGGAAATGATTTTCCGATGTTCCCCTGCGCATGGGGTTATATATCATCTTCACATGAGTGATGAGTCTCTATGTGGTGTCTTATAAAGAAAAGAGCCATTTTCAAATCTAAACATTTGAATTTCTCCAAGTGCAATGATTTGTTGGATCGTGCTTTGCTCTAAAATGATAGAAAAATGGAAATCCCCTCCATCTTTTTCTGAAAAACACAAACATTTAATGGTTTCTATTCATTTTCAGTTCAACTGAAGATATTCTGCCTATCTTTTTGCTTTCAGATTCTACTGTTTTTTAACAAATCAAGACTACAAACAACTCACAAAATCATCTGTTTGATGTAACACGTGTAGTACTTCTAACTATGTTGCCTCAGACTATTTTATAAAGTACTGCTGGCCTGAAATGCAGGAATGAGTGTATGCTTAGAAAATAAAATAAATTCACAAAACTAACCCTAAAATATTTTAGCTTAGAAATCTTTTTGTTTTATTACAAAGTTATCATCTGTCGAAGAAAGAAAGAAACGAAGTAAAACTATCTTTTATATAGCGCCTCTCAAGATAAAACTCACGAGGCACTTCACGATAAAAAAATAAATAATAATAATGAAAGGCAACTGCTTGCCAGTTTTCAACCAAACCCTTACAATGCCTTTATTAAATGTACATCTCCAATGCATGAGATCTAACTGGGTCAAAATGACCACAAGAGCATTAGCCAACACAAACATGGTCACCTTTGCTGGAATCGAGCCACAGTTCTCTGTGTTAATAACTACATTTCATCCACAACTCAAACTCTTAGTACAACAGAAAATACAGGATCTTGGAGGAGATTTCACAAGATGTGTTCTTTAAGATTGGACCTGAAATGCCTTAACCCCATTCTCGACATTCAGGGGGACTCGTTAAGCCAGGCGGACACTGTGTGACTTTTTTACTCGTAGCATTCAGCTCCACCCCAAACGGTACGACTTCCTAGCAAAGCAAATCTCACGAGACATGTTCTCACAATGTGCAACCCAGTTCTTGGACGCAACCTGACTGACTGCTCACACTGTACGTCTGTTATCAACACATCAGATCTATAAATATGCTAAAAATAGCAGTTATTACATCACATGTCGGAGTTTCAAGAAAACCCAGAAGACTCGAGGCTGTTGTGTTCTTGATGTCTTCTGTCCTTCAGGCTTGCTGTAGGAGGACACGGGGATTTTGGAGGAGGAAGACGAAAGAAAGAAAGAAAGAGAGAGAGAGAGAAAGAAAGAAAGAAAGAAAGAGAGAGAGAGAGAGAGAGAGAGAGAGAGAGAGAGAAAGAAAAATCAATGTTTTGGGGTGAGTTTGACATAAACTCGGCAAACTTGCTTTCTTGATAGTCCTTTGTCATTAAGTGCAAAGAAAAGTGATAAAAATAAAAAATGCTTCAGAAAATAATAAATCAAAAGGCTTTAGCCAAGTCAACAATCACAGCCACACAACATCCCTTATTGTAAATGGAGCATATGATGTCCTTTAGCACTCTAACACACCCATGGCCAGTTCTGAAGCCGGAAGAATACTGCTGGATTCCAGATACTGAGTTAGCTGTTTGTTGATGAACTTTCCAATGGTTCTGGAGATAGGTCTGTATCAGAGGTGAAGGTCATCTGCATAAAGTTGGTAGGAGATTCCTTTAAAATAGCTCAGGGTGTGCTGAAGAGGTGGCATTTTTCCACATTTGAAGTTTTTAGAGGCAGAAGATGCTGCATGGCAGCGCAAAGACATGCAAAGTCAGATATGCACAATATGTTCCCTTTAAAGGTTTGCAGTTAAAATATGTTTGTTTTTTTTCCTGAATTTAGTTAAAAAAAACTAAAGAAATAATATGAAGCTGAGATGATGTAACATAGCTAATAGCTCAATAATCAGGGAAGGATTGTTATTAGTCTCTGTTCTGACTCTTGTGGGCGAAGCTGTGGTTGGATGCGGTTATTCTGTAGTGATCCTTGCTGCTGGGGCTACTTCCAGATGTTTCTGGTTGTCTCTGTGGTTCCTCCATGATCTATTTGTGCCCAGCCATGGAGCTCAGGGAGACAGCCCTGTCAGTGCAACACTCAGCCGGCACAGCCATCACTGCACAAACATGTAGTCATCGACACCCATTAAAAGCAAATGTCACAGCTGAGATCTTAACAAGCAAAGCCCAGCCGTGGCTACAGCCACAGTGACAGCTGTGTCATCCCGAGGCTGCCATCAGGATCAGAGCTACAGCTTTTGTCGGCAGCGGTCAGTGACAGAGCTGCTCTGCTTTCTTTCTTCGTGGAACACCGACTCGTGCCTGAGCAGCTGCAGCTGATGGTGCAGAGTCAGTCTAGTCCCGACCAGCTCCAGATTTCATAATTCAACTCTGTCTTTATTTTAAAAAATAATAATAATGACATTTAAAACAACATACATACAAAAAAGTCTATTTAGTTTGTCCTAGTTGAAGCTGCAACAGCAATCCTCATCCTCTTCTCCTCCACTGCTTTATGGTAAAACCTGTGCTAAGACTTTACTGCAAGGGTCCCTTTATTAATGTTACTTAGTGCATTATTACACATTAATAAACAAAGGGTCCCTGTATAAACGTTACCATTATTGTTAATTATGAAGTGTCCATAAAGTTAGGACAAAGGGCTGAGGGGGGAGTAGTAATGCATTACATTTTTGGGTTAAGCAGCTGTTAATACTTCAATAGTTTATTAATGCTTAATAATGCACTAAGTGCCACTAATAAAGGGACCCTTATTGTAAAGCAGTGGTTACTAATTAATATTTCAGCACCCAGATGATGATAGCATTCGCTCTCCATTGTTAAAGAACAAAACAGCAGGGATGTGTCATGCTTAATGAATACTCGAGTAAAGCCTTGCATGGTAATATATGGTTGATATCTTATCATCATTTATCAGTTTAGGCCAACCGCGCCCAAGCTGCACCATCTTTGGGCTATGCTGCTGCTGCAGCGCGGCGCGTGGGGATTATCTGTACGGACGACGCGGTAACGTTGCATATGGACCTGGTTGTTGAACAAATATCCTCAGTAAATAAATCTGACAGTAAATACGTAACTGCAGCAATAGCTTCAAAACACTAATCCCCTTAAACACCTTTTTTTTTTTACACACAAGCTTCCAAACTTTTGGACCTATCCCGTGATTTAGTTTGAACAAATTTCCATTTCGCTATAAAAATACAGGCCATTTACCATGTGATCAGAAAGTCGCTCATTTAGGGGCAGAGAAGAAGAATAAATCACCAACCTTATTTTTTTATTGTTGAAATAAAACACGGCAAAGCATCAGTTCACCTGCAGAACTTCACTGGAGAACATGAAGTGATTAAATGAATCAGGAAAGTAGGAAGACATTTATTTCTGTTTTTACATTTTTCACTTCAGGTCAAACTATAATTTCATGTTTTTATCACATTTAGCTTGAACTTTATTTAAATATCTTCATCTTTATTCATTTTATAATATAATATAATATATATAATATAATTTTTATGGGGCCTTGTTTGAAGAATAAATTACATAAAACTACATGAGTGGTTTGTTTATTTTTTTAATATGTTATTAAATATTAATTAAATGTTCTTAAATGACATTCAGTGCCTTTTAGTACTTGTTCTGCAGCAATTCATTCATGAGAATAGTTCAAACCAGCCATATGGCCCATTCCTATCCAAATGAATGATAAACCTAGTTTTTATCAAGCGTCCCCCTGTCCTGCATGATTTCCATGTCTCTGCTTCAGCCCGCCAGATTTATATATGGGCATTGCCTTCTCAGGATGGCATCAAGTGCTGCACAAAGCTGTTAATCATTCATTTATTTAGCTCAGATGTGTGGTGGCAGGAAAACAGCTAAAACCTGTAGGCTGGGAAACACTGCTGCAAAGTGTTAGCCAACCCGCCCTTGCCAGCGTAGAATGCTCAAAAACAAACTGTAAACCTTCTAAGGCACATCATTTCTACATAATTATTGCAAATAGAAGCTTCTCAGGCCCATCTGCACCAGTTTGAGTACAAAGTGGATTATGGGAGTTGACAACATAAAAGCCCATCACCACTCTCCATCGGGCTGACAGCAGCAGAACATGTTAATGTGGTGTTGGACGGAGCGCCATGGTGCTTTGTGACGGCGGGCTTTACTGGGTCGGACACAGCCTCGTCATGTCAGGAGCCGTGTTGTCACATTAACGAGTGGATGGGCACGCACAAAGGTGGCTTGTGATCAGCTGTTCAGAAGGATTTGACAGATACCTTTAAATCAAAACAAAAAATCTCTTTCCAAATGTTTGACTTTCACAGTTTTCCTTTCTGTTGATCCGTGCAGCTCCTGCTGCTTGGACCAAATGAACCGGAGAGATCTGAAATATGTCGAAGTTTCTCTTACAACTTTGAGAGCACAGAGAAGACTCCGGAAGCATGATGAATCTCTCTTCTCCCCTATATATGCCCCAGCTGGAGATGTACCATGGAGTTTGCAGACTGACCCCATGAGAGTGCTGCATCCAGAGTAAATAAGCATGTAAGGAAACGTGTGAAGTTGTTTTGGAGCTTGACTTTCCAGTGCTTTCCAGGGATTAAACAGTTATTGGTTTTAAATGTTGCTGAGGTAAAATTTCCCTGTGGTTACTATTAGTTTTAAAAGGAATTCACCATTAATGATGTATTTGGTGATCATGCTTTTTAAAAAGCTCCATAAATGGTGAGACTTTATTTCATATTCTTTTGGAGGCTTGATGGGAGGTTTTTAGGTCTCTGGAGGCCAGTATGCTGTTTATTTCAGATGAATAACAAGGATCATTATTTTCTGTCAGTCACAGAACTGAGATTTAACTTCCTTTACAAACCCTTCACAATAAGGGCCCAGGGCAAATGTGTGCGTTTAACTAAAGAAACAAACTATTCTGACAAAAACACAACAGACCCAACTGGAGCATCCTGGTTTTATGGCAGACCATAATCACCTTCTACATGTTTGCTCATTTATTATGCAACATGTGCTGAGTTCTACGTTAAAGTTTTTAAGCTCTGCATTTATTGATGAATCAATAAACATCTAAAACTCCTGGTTTGACTGTTACCATTTGTTTTTATATTATTTTTAAGTGTTGTCCCATTTATCATGACCTATCATCACACAATATGAAATTAGGGACTCTATTTTATTACTTCTGTCAACTTTTTCTGAAATATTTATTCCTTTAGGAATATTCCGGCATCCTGATCTTAAGAATCTGATCAGGGTCCTGATAAATATATTGTTAATGGTTGGTATCATGGTCATATTTAGCTTCTGATTGGTGAAACTGACCTTCTGTAAAATGGTTGATTATTATGTTACGTGATGATGCGTCTGCAGGGTATAAAATGATTTTAAAACTGGAAATGAGACAAGAAAAATCCTGACTGGGACATCCCTTGGCGTACGATATCTCTGCAAGCTAACGCTAGCTCTAACGCTGCTTTTATTTCCTCTGCTAAATCATCTTGAAATGTAAACTCAACTGTGATGCGAAATCTTATAAAACAGAATTAGCATGAACATTTTTGAGGTTAGAGTCGTTGTATTATAGCAGCAGTCCACTTTGTCCTTGACTGGACTAGCAGTTAGCTCATCTATTCGTCCAGAAGCTATTTCTCCAAACTCAGGTTGTTCAGAGCGCTACAACAGGTGAATGCTCATAATAACATTTTCACAGAATCCCACTCTAGGTGATCTGAATTATTGCTTTAATGGGTTTATTTGTAGCAGAGTCATGAATTCCTTTTAGTGAATACAGTCTACATTTGTTTGCAGCTGTTAATTAAATTAGCATCTCGTTAAACATGTTTAGCCCAAATTTTCTCTAGATTTGTTTCTCATGTGCTAATGGAGGTCAACACAGTATATGCAAACCTGTAATAAGGATAAATTCATTTGAAGTTAAGTCCTACTGTAGTGTAATATGTTAAATTAACAATGGATAACAATCATTTATCCACATAAGAATGTCCATTAAGTTTACATTGCACTCTTTTACTAAACAAGTATCTTTAAAGCCACTGCAGTGCTGACTTGTCCTCTTTCTGCAAGCCCAAATGTTCTTTTCTTATTTTACTAAAACTTCCTGACTCCCACAGCCGGACCAGCTGATATAATTACAGTGCAGGCTGTCCTATTATTTACAGTTCCAAATGCAGTCTCACTGGGTCGTGGGAGCCATCCGAGGACCTTCTCATCAGCCATCCATCCTCCAGCTACTCTGCATTAGCAGCTCCAGAAGGGTTGTAAATTAGAAATGAAGGGGCATCTTGTAGCGTGGTTCCCCCGACCTGTGCTGGGGCTCTCTGAGGCCACACAAACTACAGTTTCAATTCCTCAAATAAATCCTTCGGAGGCCGGTGTTAGCTGGAAGCAGTAATTCACAACTGCATGTGGAAGCAGAAAGAGAGAGTCCCGTGATGGCTACATCTCTTCTCCGGTGACACCAGAACACTCCCCTCTGTGGTCCACTGTCCCAAAAGCCCAGAAGAGCATAGACGCAGACAAAAAAGGCTGCCACTTAATCCTGAAGACACAGGACTGTATTTCTGTTCTTTATTCTGCTTCTTTTCTTCATTGTTAGAGAACATAGTTAGATGGGGGAATGACATCTCTGTGCTCTTCACACATTATGCTTCGTGAGCACCCGTTCTGGTTTTGGACGCCACCATTGCAGTTTGAACCGTTTTAAGTTTGGCTTCACTCTGATTGGTCTGTCAACACAGGCCTGATTTCGACTGCCTGCTCAAATGTGACTGTGTTTGTTGTGCCGCCCATTCAAATCCAGATGAGATCTGATGCACAAATGTGGGAGCGGGCTCATCAGGTTTGAGCAGGCATGGTAAACCTGGCCTATGTTGACTGACACACCAATCAGCGAGAACAAAGCCGAACAGAGTGTGTCTTCACAGCAATAAACACTGCGCGCCTTCAAATGTCATCCTTGTGCTGTTAAAATCTTTGTTTTATTCTTGCTTTATGTTATCTTTCTCTTTATTGCTGTCTAAACAAAGGAAACAGTGTTCTGGTTTCTCTCTTACTTTTGGCAACACTTTGAAAGCAACACAAACATCACATGTTGTTGACAAAAATGGAGGATTTGATCCAGCAGATAAAATGAAGAGGCTTTAAAGAGAGCTCTCTGGAGGATTTGAAGCTGCTGGTTGGGTGGGGAGGTGACGGCATGAGAGGGACCAGAGTCACAATCAAATCACTGCAATTAGTAGAGGAAGCGCAGCAGAGCAGTGCCCCCTAGTGTTCATCTGACGTACCGTTGGCTGAAGGAACCCCGCTGGAGCCAAGCACAGGCTCTGCTTTTGGTACAGAATAAATCCATTTCAATGACATGCAATTTGTGTCTTTCCCAGGTTCTTTGTCAAAGTTAGGAGTGTTTCAACTACAGATCGTTTTGATTCTGCCATTCTTGTTCATGTGTCTCTGCTCATCACTTTAAATCAAGTTTTACAGAAAATTGCTTCCTCCTTGAATGATTTGTGGATGGATTCTTTCCCATAAGCCTTTTAGCAGCAATTCTCCATGAAGAAGCACTAAGACTGTATTGACCTACATTATTTAATGTATTTTTGGCCTACAGTATGTTTTTTTACGTCTTTACTATTCTTCCCTCTCTGTGACCCAGTATCCACAATCCTTTTGTAAAAGCTGGATTTCTGGTGTATGAACCTTCCTCTTCATCTATGAGTGGTTTCTGTGCTATCAATGTTTAACTGAGGTGAACCAGGAAGGCCAGATGAATGCTGACTGACATACATGGAGACCTAGAAGCTTATTTTAAAGAGAAAGATGAAAAAAGTACCTTTAAACCATTTCATGAGAGGTATAGCTGTTAAAGCATGCTAAATGTTGTTATTAATAGAAACAGCTGTTAAACATCTTCTTGTGCAAGGAAATGTGGCTTTTATATTTATTAAAATGTCCTTTTCATGTTTATGACTGATGACCAGGTGAAATAAAAGGTACATTAAACAGAAGCTCAGGAGGTTACGATTCTGACATCGTGTCTTTTTTGGTGTTTTTAGAACTTCATCAGAGGGACTCGTTGATCCTAATGGAGATGACGCTTGGCCCTCGGGCGCTGAAGTCCGGCCCCTCTGCAGACCCGGCTGATAGCAGGTAGACTTTGGCCTGAAACGGGCACGACACAACAGGAAGAAGCGTTTCCCGGTCATCACAGCAGAGGTAAGGAACTTCAATCTAAAATTTAAACTCATGGATCTTTTCAAACATCATCAAGACACTTTAAATGAAAAGCTCTTCTGTCATGTTTTTTAAATGTTATTCAATTCAATTCAAATTCAAAAATACTTTATTAATCCCAGAAGGAAAATGATTAGGTTAGGGTCTTGTTCTCTTTATTCAAACTGGATAACAATCTGCTTCCTCTCTTTAAGTTTCACTTTTTGTCTGGTAAAACCGAGGAGAGAAAAGAATGTAAAATAGTCACGCTTTCCACAAGATACCACAAAGTGTTTATACATAAATATGACCACATCTGGGTTGGGTCTCTGCACTTGGTGAAGGAGTTTTAAGTTTTTTGAGTCATTTTCACAAGTGAGGCTGTGTTGATGGGCGAATTGGGACTGCTGTACTGTGTTCAGATCAATTACAGAAACGGGAGAGTTGAGTCAAAAGCTACGTCCCAAACCTCACTTATGGTCAAGAATGATGCAAGGATGAGGAGTTGAGTTACTGCTACATCATAGGGAGCCAGTTGAAGAAGCTTCATCATCTTGGAAAATTTCCCATGGATAGATGGATGCATGGGTTGGTTGGTTGGTTGGTTGGTTGGCTGGATGTTCACATTCACACCACAGATACTTATTTGTAATTTATGATGGTAATCTGGATGTTCTCTACACTCAAAGAGCATCAATCATTAAAGAAAGATTTCACTCCTCAAGTGGTTCATTTAAAAGAAAACTTTAGGGGAATTTCTCTTTATTTCACCACTTGATATAAATTGGAATATATTTAAAAATGTTGTAGTCCGCCCATCTTTCATGAAGACAGAATGTCCTCTGAGATCAATTAACCACAATCTCCCTGGCTGTTAAATATACATACAGCTCTATTAGGTTGAGGTTTAGGGCCATAATTATGGATGTTAGTCATGGATGGCTGTGAGTTTGTGTGATGCATCGTTTTGTAATTACCCATTTATTTGTTCCCCACTGACAGTGCAGATGCTGTCCAAAACATGGATGTCTCAGCTTAACTAACCTGGATGTCTGCTTTCATTTTACTTTCTCTTCTTGTCAGATTCCTGTGCACAGGTGGAGGAGAAGGCTTTGTGACTTTTAGTGAAATGAGCCAAACGAGCAGCAGCACGAGTGAACAACATGAGCCTCGTCCTCCTCCATACAGCCCTCCATACTATGGGGAGTATTCACACTCAGGGGTGACTCATCAGGTTAGTAGCAATGTTTTCATTTATTCCCCAAAGAAAAAATGAAATGAGGTGATGAGATTGAAATGTTTTGGTTTTGTTATTTTGGTTTTCATTTCATAAAGAACTTAATGACCAAACCAACCTCGGTTCATCAAAAAATCGTTACGAAATTCATCAGAAGATCATAATAAAATATTTGCAAAGCCTCATTTGCATTAATATTAATATGCAAGGATGGTTTACAGATCTCTGCTGTTAAGGCCTTTTTGCCACATTTAAATGTTTCACATCAGTAAAAATAATAATGAGAAAACTAACATCAGACAAAGAAAACCTTAGAAAATACAATATGATGGTTTTTTTTAATGATAATTTGATTTATGTAAAGAAACAAATCCATGCAGACCAACCTCACTTTGATATTTTCCTTCAGGGTTTTCTACTGGAAAGCAGAATTCATGGTTCCATCCATCACAGCAGGTGGTTCTGAAGCAGCAGACCATCACACCACCACCACGTCTTACTGTTGCTGTGATGGTTTTCATGAATGTAGCTACACCCGATGGAACAGGACACACACCTTCCAGAAGTTCCACTTGTGTGCCCTAAATTAAAATACTTTCCCAAAGTCCCAAAGAGCAGGATTTAACCCACTGCATGTTGTCAGACAGTTCGTACGGAAGAGTTTTCTGTACTCTAAAGGTCTGGACTGGGTGTGGGCTAGTGATGGGAATTCCGGCTCTTTTTAGAGAGCCGGTTGTTTTGGCTCCCAAGTGGCTCCTCAGATTTTCTGTTGCGTAAAGTACATTTATAACCAAAATTATGCAAAACTATATGTAAAATGATTTACTAATGTAAAAAAATGTAATATATCAAATATTTATCATTTCTATGGATTTAACAACTGAACACATTAAGAAATCTCCACATTCTGACTGCTGGCGCTCATTTTCTCACCGTCTTCGTCGCACTCTCCTCTCTCTCACTCGCCTTTTATCTCCTCCTCATTCCCTCTCGTCTCCCTCCACCCGCATGTGCTCTGCTGTGTGTCTGAGTCTGATCCTCCCTCTTCCCCGCCCCTACTGCTCTGTGTGTGGACAGTCTGGACACGCAGTTACACATGCTGACCAATCACCTGTAGCTTGCACCAAAGCAAGAGGGGAGGGGGGAGGAGAGGGGACGGCTCCCACTCTTAGAGCCGGTTCGTTCGCGACCGACACATCAATAGTGTGGGCAGCATTCTAAATAATGTGGTTAGTCATAATTAAGTCATTATATTACAAAGGGAGCATTTACGTTTTCACATCAAGCCAAACTGGTTTGGGTAAACTGTTTAAAAATGATCAATGACATTATGATTAGAAACCTGCTTTGAGGTCATCTTTTCACTTTTAAGTGGAGAAAAGGGAAGAAGAAAAGTTACCTATACGGTGCAGAACCCTTATTTTTGCAGCACTGTGTGTGCTGTTATTTAAACCTGGATATTTTAATTGCAGGTAGGAAATGGAAACATTGCTGTTGTCTCCCCTCCTGGCCCTTACCCAAACACAACCCTCCCTGATGGGACAGTAGAATTTGGAGAAGACTCACAAGTTGGTCCAACTCAGACACCGTTTGTGTTTGAATCAGCATCAGACGACGGTGGCTTCAGTGATGCTGTGATACGAAAAGGTAGGAGCAAATGGAGAGAGAGGCAGGAGGCGAGATGAATGATAGTTTTATATATCACCTCTTGACCTCAGCTGCATGCCACCTCAGGTTTTTGCCTTCACATGCAAAACACACAAGATGAAAGTTTGGTGAAAACAGAACCATTTTGGAAACTGGTGAAAAAACTCTCATCTTTTTCTTGTGTTTGAACGTTTTTCTTGTCTTGTTTTGTCTCCTCCCCCGCCAGGTTTTGTGAGGAAAGTCTACCTGACCTTGATGATTCAGCTGCTGTTTACTGTTGGGATCATTTGTGCATTTCTGTACTGGTGAGGCACCCCAAAGCACAAGGGACTTCACTCCCTCAAGAGATAAATCCATGTCAGAAACCTTTACCATTCATCCTGCTCAAGTGTGCAGCCTGTAAAAGCTTGCTTCACCACAGAGGAGGAACAATCCATCTGCCGCCATGCAAACTTAAACATAAAACCATCATGAAATGATCCAGTGAAGGAGCACTAGATCGTAGCTTGCAGTAGTAGCATGAAACTTCTGTCAGTTTCATATAATAGATGCAGTAAAGTCATTTGATTTCATAAATTGTGTTCTGCTCCCAAGTGTGTCCTCTGTTCAGATTTAATTAATTATGCTGCTGCCTCTATCAAATAAAAGGCGGTTCCATTAAACTCCCTTCCTCTTTCTGCATTTTCACTTTTCTTATCACATAACAGGAACACACTCAGGAGCTGGGTTCTCAGAACGTCCTGGTTCTCCTACACCATGATGTGAGTAATTAAAGAATACAAGGATGTTTTTCCTATTGAATTTCAACAAAAGCTCTGTGTGTGTGTGTGTGTGTGTGTGTGTGTGTGTGTGTGTGTGTGTGTGTGTGTGTGTGTGTGTGTGTGTGTGTGTGTATTTTTACAGAGGACATGATGTTGTTTTTATTACTTTTTTGGATTCCTGCTGTTAAACAGGTCAGTGGTGCTGGTGCTCGCCATTTTCATGTCCTGTTGTGGTAGCGTCCGCCGTCGTGTACCCCTGAATTTTATAGCCCTGGGCCTGTTTGTGAGTAAAAGCAGCAGCAGTCAGGCATTAATTTAAGCCACCACCACACCTGCTCTGTTTTTTAATCACTATTTTCATGTATTTACCTTCTACTTGTCTTCTTGACCCTCTTCTCTTTCACTCAGACTCTTGCAGAGGGCCTGATGCTTGGATCTGTGGCAGCGTGAGTGTTCCACCTGATGATGCTGACTGACTCATTTATCCGATTAGATCTGTATCTGATAGTTGTGCCTGGTGCCAGTCCAGAAGCCGTCAGACCAGATAACGCATTATTACTAAAAGGGATATCACATTTTATGTCCTTTTTTCGCTGAAGAAGAATCCAAAGCACTGCAAATATTTAAAAATCTAATTTCCCTTGACCAGAACCAGCGTAAACATGAACCAATTCAATTCAATTCAAGTTTATATATAGCGCCAAATCATGACAAGAGTCATCTCAAGGCACTTCACATATAAAATATTCCAATACAGGTCAGTTCATTAAGCCAATCAGAAAAAAGTTTCCTATATAAGGAAACCCAGAAAATTGCATCAAGTCACTGACTAGTGTCAGAGCCTTTACAGCAATCCTCATACTAAGCAAGCATGCAGCGACAGTGGAGAGGAAAACTTCCTTTTAACAGGAAGAAACCTCCAGAGGATCCTGGCTCAGTATAAGCAGCCATCCGCCACAAACGATCCCATTCTTCTACTACGTTCTAATCTGTCAGAGGTATCGGATCAGCGGAGACCGTCACTGATACTTTTAAAGTGCTCAGAGAACTTAAATCCATATTTACCTTGTTGTAGAATATAGACAGTTTGGGGTTTCTGATGTAATGTCTGTGCCATCTCTGACCTCTGTAAACTAGTAATTTTTAAATGGCTACTGGGACAGCAGTAGCTCAGGAGGTAGGGCGGGTTGTCCAGTAATCAGAAGGTTGCAGGTTCGATCCCGACTCTGACTTTCCGCTGTTGGGCAAGACATTTAACCTGCTGGTGTTGGTCGGAGGGACCGGTGGCACCAGTGCTCAGCAGGCCTCGCCTGTCAGTGTGCCCCAGGGCAGCTGTGCTGTAGCTACATTGTAGCTCATCACCAGCGTGCGAATGGGTGGATGACTGATTGTGTTGCGAAGTGCCTTGGGGGGGGTTGTAGAACCCTAAGAAGGCGCTATACAAATGCAGGTCACATCAGGTATTTAGTTAAAAACTCATCAAATATCACAAAAAAGTCATCTAATAAAAAATAATGAGGTATCTGGGGAAAGGTCACCACCAGAAACAGCAGCGGGTATCAGCGAGAAGTCCTTAGAAAGAGAGTACCAGGTATCTGAAAACTGTTGTCCTTTTAAAAAACACCAGACAAAAAATAATCAGGCATTTCGGTCTGTTGTCGCTTTTCACCCTTTCAGCTGAAGAGCCTTTTTATGATACATGACAATCTTTGTCTGCTTCTTCTCTATGCCTGATTTCTTTTTTATTTCACCGGACAGGAAATGAAGGTTTTGTTTTACACTGTATTTAAAAGTGAAACCAATGTTTTAAATAAAACAATGTTTAAAAAGTTTGTTTAACTTGACAGTCTATCATATTATATCAGCTCAGCCTGCTGCTGGTTGGACACCACAGGATGCGTTTCCAGCTGCTCATCTGTTTCTGTCTGCAGGTATTTTGATGCTGAAGTTGTCCTGTGGGCTGTGGGCGCAACAGCCTTCGTTTCCTTCAGTATGAGTCTGTTTGCTATGCAGTCAAAGGTAAGATCAGTCACACACTCTTGGCTCCTGTTTGCAGCGCTGCCAAAAGTGAAATTTCACAAACTGCGGTGACTTATTGGTCTGTGGTGAACATCCTTGTGCTGAGATGTGTTTTCCTTCGTTGTCACTGGGAAACGTGTTAATGCGATCTGTTGGTGCAGGACGTTTTCCTCCTGCGGCACCAGCAGGGGTTTAAAACTGTGATGGGATTGCTGTTCAGGCAAAACTGTGATTATTGCTGAAATCAGTGTTTGTGTCAGTCACATTAATTCCTCACGTCCACCGGTGCGACAGAGTTAAACTCCTCTAAGCTGAGGCTTTCACCACACATCCTGAGTTCAGAGTCACCGCTCTTTTCACTTGATCTTCTTTTCCCTTTACATTCTTGATGGAGCAAATGAAAATCGTTTCCTTTGAAAAAGGCGTTCTCATCAAAACACCCTGCTTGTTCGGTCATATTTTGTTGTTGAAAAGGTCTGTTCTAACATCTCCTAAACATGATTTACAAATTCTGGACAGATTTCTGTGTTGTCATGGTAGAAATATGTGATTTTTTTTATTTTTATTTTTGGTTTTAACGAGACCTAAACCTGGCAGAACATCAGCTTCTGAGACCTTTCTGTAAATGTGGTCATCACCTGGCTTGTTTGGGTTGAACACATTTGGGATTAGGTCGGTAAAAGGTATTAGTAATGGCTGGCCCTTCAGTTTTGAAGTCCAAAGTGTAGAATTAGGACCTTTGAACAGGAAGTCTTTGTGATGGTGCATAAAACCTGATGGGTGCCAACCGAGCTACTGCCTGAAACTCCCCTTTGTAGCAATCTAATACAGAATACCTATAATTTGTCATATAAAACTGGTAACCACACAACTGTGTCTGTTACTTCCTGAAAGTAAATCAAATGAGAGGCAGACAGGAAATGTAGGATAAATAGTTTCAGAATAAAGCCTAGAAGTTGTTTAGAAAAAGCCTTGGACAGAAAGCTCCAGGCACACATTAACTCTTCTTTCATTAATGTTTTATGTAAGTCATAAAACAGTCTCAAAAGTTGCTTCACTTTTGAAGAATTATTTGAAATAAATTATCGCTGAAGTCTTTTGAAGCTTGCACGAGTAATCTCTGCACACCGAGGGGATTCAGAGGAAACCAGAGGTCCTAAAGCACAGAGAAACACACTGGGTGAACGTATGGATATTTCAGATGTATCACTTCTATATTTGGTTCAAAAACACCTTATTAATCCCAAAGTGACATTAGACGTGATGCTGACTCATTAACTTTCTGAGAAAACACAATTCTAGCCATGAGATGAAAGGTCTTCTGTTGCTGATTTGAAGGGGTCTCTGTCTGAAGACCTCCAAATGTAGAACTACTGTTTTGTGAAGCAGGTGCTCAGGGTTGTCCATGAAGCATCTGGCTTTATCCAATCAGCTCTAGAGGCTCCAGAGCATTCCTCGGCAGGAAAGTCTGAGGTGTGCAGAGCAAAAAGGAAGGTTGAGAACATGGTACCCTGTGGTGCTCCCCAAACAGAGGTCTGTTAAGCCTCAAACCCACTGCGCGTTTGGGATGGGGTGGGGTGGGTCATCGGGGAGCGGTGTGGATCGAAATGGGTCTGCAGTTTTAGGAGAGCGTTTCTGTCACAGTTTGGGCTCTGGTGTTGGCAGGCAGGGTTACACATGCAGTCATGCGCAATTTCATAAATAAGTTGTGAAAGTATTCGGTATTTTTGTGCTGCAGTGAATGATCTGCAGAGCTAAAGAAATTCTCACCAACAGGCTCCACATGACTCACGGTCGCTGAGTCCAGGCCTGGCTCGGTTGGCTGGTCAGTGGCTATAAATAGCACCCAGCATGTCACAGCGCCTCCATGCATTTCTCCCATTTCCTATCTGGCTGTTTCTGTCCTCAACTTTTCTGTATTTGGCTTTAATTTCTTCCTCTTGGCCCAACATCGTTCCAACGTCCACTCAAATCTTTCGGCTCCCATCTGCTGAGAAACTTGCTCATCCTGACGTGGGACTCTTACGACGATGATGAGGAATGTATGGAGCTCTGAAGCTGACCAGACCTTGCTGCTACTTGCTGGCATTTTCTCACAGCCTCTCCATCAGGTTGTCCCTACTGAGCACTCTCAGGAAGTGGAGATGCTACTGGGCCTCTTTTTGTTTTTTATTTACCACTGCCATGGTATTTGCAGCCCAGGAGAGATCATTAGAGATGTGCACACCCAGAAGCCTCATGGAGTGTACCCTCTCCACAAAGTCCCCGTGGATGTAAAGCAGGGCCGGGTCTGCTCTGCCCTTCCTGAAGTCAAAGTCTTTAGTTTATGTGGTGTTCAGTTGGAGGTTGTTTACTGGGTTAGGGTTTGGTGTAAACAAGTCATTGTTTCAAAGCCAACAGAAACATTTCTGATGTTAACAATTATCTAGTTATCAAATATCAATTATCTAATCTAAACTTGTTAAAGGCCCAGTGTGTGATATTTTTACCAGTTTACTATCTAATCCTGTGTTTCCAGTTCACAAACGTGTCCTTTTTCACTAAAATTTCTCACCAACATCAACTGTAAATATTCCTCTCAACTTGAAAGTATACATTTTTATATACATAAACTGTGATCGACACTCCATGGTCATCCACCATCTTAAAATACAGTAGCCGTTTAGGGACATACGAGCTCCACGTTACCCGTTTGGACTATGGCTGTAACCTGAAAGAACCAGCAGAGGGCAGCAGTGCACCCTGGAAGCATGGGGTCTGCTAATTCAGCTAAGAAGTAGAAAAGAATGGCTACACCTGCTGTACTTGTTAGTTTGAATAAAAAAACAAACAAATCAAAAGACATAAAATTTGTCAGTTCGCCATCATGTCCAACACAAGGAAGCCGCATATGTTCAGATCCCCGCCCACTATTAGCTTGACGCCAGCCTCTGATTAGTGTCTCTGACTCCCAAACTCACCTCAAGTTGTTCATTCGTCTTTTCCTAGTACCAGAACTCCCAATCCGGTCCAAATGTGTCCGTACCAGAACTCCCGATCCGGTCCCAACTTGTCCGTACCAGAACTCCCGATCCGGTCCCAACGTGTCCGTACCAGAACTCCCGATCCGGTCCCAACGTGTCCATACCAGAACTCCCGACCCAGTCCCAACGTGTCTGTTCCAAAGTCCTTCTACTCAAGTCTCCTCTCTTCCCGCAGCCTGCCGCCTTGCCCAACACGCTCCAGTGCTAGACAGTGGCTAAATCTGCGTTGTTTACTTTATCTCCGCAACACTTTACTAACAGCGATGTAGTTCTCCACACGTTACAGAGACGCTCCAACACAGAGGGCTTCTTCTCAAACGTTACCTTTAGACTTGGGTCTCCTTTTGCTGGTAGGAGTTTACTCGCAGCATACACAGAGTCTCCCAGAATATTTCAGGGGAACACAATTTCTCACAACACCTGACCTCCCGGCTGACGTCACCTCTCCTCTGTGTGTGAATCGGGACACCTTCAAGAACAGAACTAGCTTGCTTCCTTGAGAACCGGTAGGCTGATAAAACAGTCATAATTACGAATGCCTTTTTAAAGAGGTCGAGTGGCTTGTTTTAAGCTTTGTGTGGGTTAGGCTACACAGGTTGGAAAATGGTTATACAGTCAAACTCATGTGTGAGCCACCGTAGCTGCAATACTTTCTCTGAACTGCAAGAGTCGCATTTTTAATCATGATTTTACTGGATTTCACACACGGGGGCTTTAATTCTTGATCTGAATTTAATACATAAACTTTGAAAAAAAAAACGTAAAAGACATCAAAACCTGATTTGATGGTTCAGGTCAGCTATGATTTTAAATTTCAGTACAATAAAGCATTTTGACTGACAACTCAGTAAAAACATCCTTAAAGTTTAAACAAGGGCACTGAAAGTAGAACATTATGAGTCTAACTTTGTATTTTTATGTATTTTATCATTTTTTCACAACCGTAGTCGAAGTTTAATGAGTTTCGCTAATTTTACAACAATAGCACTGACATGTTGTCATAGGTTAGAATATTACAAAATGAAGTTTCATATTAATATGAAGTGTAATGTATACTGAAATTTGGATCTTGAACTGGCATCCTATCAATTTCTCGTTCTTTCAATTCATTTCATAAGTTTGAAGCTTTCATTTCATTCCATTTGAGGGAAAAAGCCTCACAGCATCAAAGTATAATTGGAACAAGGTTGAATTTTTTAATTATGTGGAGCCTCTGTTAACAATCAGGACACCTTTAACAAAACACATTGGGTTGATAGCTTGCTTCAGTTATTGGCTCGTATTCAAAACAACAGTAATTATGCGTACAATTAGGCAATAAAAATGCCACAATCTAAATGTATTTAGACTTCTTAAATGGCTTTAAAATGCTGTTAGGTGTTTGACTAATTTGTCACCTTTTTCAAGAGCTGGCAACAGTTTGGATTATGTAAAAGAGAACAAGTGGGTGTATAATGAGCCTACGGAGAACGTATCTGATGCAGAATGTCTCTGCCAACCATTAATCTGAGAACCGCCCTGCGGTGCGCCGTTCATAGTCTATTGATTGAGTGAGCGGCCACCACCTCAAACACTTAATTTATACAACTTCTTGTTCATCTTGCAGTTTTCAGCACCTCCTGCTCTGCAGCTGGCTCTAAACGCAGAGCCTTTTGATCTCTGTGGCTGTGATATAAATGTCAAACAGACCACCCAGCACGCTGGGCTCATAGCTCCTCAGGTGATCAGTGTTCTCCTACAGTACCATCTTTTCTATGTCAATCTGAAAAGGGCACGCAGGCCATAAGGCCACATCCACTCCCCCTCCCCTGTGCCTCTGCCACAGCGTGTTGATTAATTACTGAGGACAATTATATCCAGAACCATCAGGATGTTCTTTTATGTGGAACTCCAGTATATCTTTGTCATTTCATTGTCTGCAGAGACACATGGGTAGCTGCAATGCAGATAGCCTTGAGCAGAGATGAGAGATGTTCTGTTCAGGGTTTTTTTTTTTTTTAAGAGAGAGAGGTTCATCACAGTAAGTGTCTCTGCCCCCCTCCACCTGTTTTCTGACACCAGTGGGACTTCACGCTCGGAGCCGGATTCCTGTGGGCATTATGCTGGTCCTTGATTTCATTCGCACTGCTGTGTGCAATCATCCGATCTCAGGTAAATCACGAGGATGTTGTGTTTGCGCATGTTTGTGATGAGAACAGGCTTGGAATGAATTACAGCAGCGTGCCCCCAGAAGCAGACAGTTTGTACGGCCTTGTAGGTTTTATCCCCGAGCGTACCGCCACTGACCTGTGAGCTGAGCTGACTATAAAGAAGGCCGTGCGCATTCTCAAACCTCCCAGGAGCTACGCTGATGTCAGACAGATGCATTTCAATTTACGATGCTCTTTACTGTGTGTTGTTAGTGTTTCGGCCAAAGCAGCCAGTGGGTTTTCACAGAAACAGACCTGCCTTTTATGCACAAGACTAATAAAGAGGATCTGAAGCTAAGCAGCTGTTACCTTAAAATACATCCCATCCATGTCTCATCAGCCATCACCAGCAAAGAGGAGATAGATGTTTGTGTCAACACAGAATATAGAAATACCAGCAACCCACTTCTAGATGAAATAATCATTTTTGTGTTTCTTTTGCAGTTCCTTTACATCTTTTACTCCTTCCTGGGAACGGTGCTGTTTTCTTTAGTAAGTGGATTCAAACTCTTGTGGTAGTAAAGGGAGCGCTGCTGCACACACAGCATTAAAATCAAACACAAAATGACCTTTGAAGGAGAAAGAAACCAACAGCTAAGAAGTCTTAATGTCAGCTGAGTGAACAAGCTTTGATCCCAGGGCAAAGCAAACCAATGTTTGTCACTCTGTTTAGTGTAACTCTGATGTCCTCGTGCCCTTTCCTTTCAATCGTGCACTCAGTAACAACAGTGGGCTTCATTTTCACGGCCACCGAGTGACTTTGGCATTAACAGCAAATTTTGTGACCCATCAGCTGGTGGAACAAACTGCAGCTGCACGCCGAGCTGAGCGGCCTGTCAGCAGCAAGTCACAACTTATTTTCAGCTGCACAACTCTTGACTACCCAATTATTTAAATGCTCTGTTTATGTGCAGTTTTTTTCCCCCTAAAGTGTTTCGTTTCAGAGTCATGCTTCTTTGGTTGCACCATCACGCTGCTGTCTTCACACGTCTGTCTGTCTCTCTGCAGTACTTGCTGTTTGACACTCAGCTAATCCTGGGTGGGAAGTATGAAATCTCTCCTGAGGAGTACGTGTTCGCTACTCTCAACCTGTATGTGGATATCATCACCTTGTTCATCTTCTTGCTGCAACTCCTGAACCTCTGCAATTCGTAATGTTATTGTAGAATGATGGTTAAAACGTCTTGTTTAAATACACACATTTTATTTAAGTAGGGATGCACTGATAAGGAAACCTGGGCCGATATCAATAACTAAAGAAATTGCTTTTATATTTCCCTATGCAGATAATTTATTAAGGGTGTAACCGTACATCATTTTGGGGCATCGTAGTACGAAACATTCGGTGAGGGACAGAGGCATACCAAGTTCCCGTACGGATGTGTACCTGCGCTGGACCTTATCCCGGAGCACAAGCGGCTCTGTCTAAAGGACCCAGCCTAACCGGTCCACGTAGCCTGAGGTACCAGACACCAAGTCCTTCATTGAGCAGGAAGTGAACGACAGTGAAATTGGACGGTCTTACCTCGGCGTTTGTCCTTTTGCCTAGCAACTATGGTGCTCAACAGAAGTTAAAACTACTTACTGACGCTACGGGAACTCGCCATACGAGCTGCCTCTGTCCCTATCAAGGGGACATTTTCTACAGATCTCCTTTTAGCAGACGTGGACAAATAAACATTTCTATCAAAAACAGAAAGGCTGAATGAGCCTGAACAAGGCTACAACCTGGGCCTCTTTATGTTGAATTTTTATCTTTCAGTTGTTCAGGTGGGTGTTTGTTGCAGCTGAGAAAGCCAAAGCATTGTTAAAATATTTAGTAGAAATCATTGCAAGTAACCAAGGTACGTACCGAACCAAACTGCCTGTCTCAAAAAGACCTGTCGTTAATATCAGCCCAGTTTTACTTATTGGACAAAAACAGATGTGTTCATGTAGAGGCCCATAAATTATGCACCCCTATAATTAAGGTAAACGTTTGGTGTCTGGAAAGCTTAAGTGTAAGTAAATAATCTGGTGACTTGTATCACGTTTTAAGACAAAGATGGTGTATTTTCTAATTATTTGTGTGGTTTTAAAGACTCTCAGACACGCAGAGACAATTAAAGTCTGAATGTCCTACCGAGTGGGCCTCTAACTCATCAGAGAACAGGGATCAAACAAGCACACAGCGAAAACTCAGCACGTTGTTTATTGGCATCACACACCAAACAGTTGTTTCATATAAAGAGGGAATGTATCAAGTATAGACTATCAAAGTGCAAATAGCATTTCAAGAATTAGTTGCTTTACAATAGAAAATCTTATTGAGTTACAAAAGTTTTTTGTGTTTTAAATAAATCACCTAGACGTTAGGAGGTGGAACAGAAATGAAGCAGAATCTGGTTTAGAGTCTAACGTTTCTCATGCAGTGTTGTAAAACCAGGAGGGATTAACATGCCGACGTAATCAGGTCCAACACAGGTCTTTTATCCACATGGCACTGTTTGACAGCTTCAAGCCTCTAGAAGCTAAACTGATTTTGGAGTTAATGTCACTCAACCAGAGTAAAAATTTACTTCTGTACAAAACCAGAATCAGGTCCTTAAGCTAAAAAGCTTCACTGTGTTTCACAACTTTTGTTAAATATCTATTTCATGTAGCAACTTTTGTCAGTTTTAGCATTTTCTTTGCCTGGGCTTTCCATCGGATGCGTAAGCAGCAAATAACGTAACATAAGGACCGCAGCAGCACATCCCTTCCCACCAGCAGCTGGTCCCACAAGGTCACAAAATCACCGTGGAATTACAAAATCACACGTGATTTCATCAGTTCTCGCGATAACAAACACGATGAAAGGTGTCAGGCCGTCTCCAAAAGGTCTGTGGTGTTTGACTTCCTGTCTGAACTGCTGAGCTTTGGCACGCTGGAAGCGAAATAGACGCAAAGGGTAAATTTAGCAAGGTGATGCAACACTCTGGCTCTGGCTGGTGGAAACAAGCCTATCAACTCTAACCGTGGTGGTTATCTGCGTATTACGCTTCCGGGACGTTAGGAGATGACTACACGTCCGGTGGAAAGCCAGGGTTAGTGTTTTCAGACTCATGGTGCACACATACAACTGGTTCTATAGTCACTACAGTCATTTAGGAAATGTAGGGCACAAACAAAACCTGTCCTTTACAACCTTACTGACCGTTAAAAGCCATCCCACAGATCTGTGGTTTTCATTAGTGTAGAGCAAAGGTTTCATGCTACAAACAGTTTAACAAAATTAAAGTATGAAATCAAGAGTTTGTGTTTAAACACTAGAAATTTGATGTGAGAGAAACCATTTTAAGGTATCGGGTGTTTCAGTGTAAAAAGCACTCAGAAATATGTGAAAAATAACTGATTTATGACGACAGACACGAAGGCACTGGGTTTCCAGCTCCAATAACACGGACTCCCTGTGATTTATCCATGTGCTAGCCTGCTGTTGGGGGCTTTTAACTACAAAGACCTTGTTTACATTTATACCTAAACCTATGATAATTGATTCATCAAAGCCTGTTGGTGGTTGCCTGGTTATCTTTTCGACTGGCCTTCCCTGCAGTACAAAAACAGGTCTGTCACTTTCAGCTCCCACATTTCTTTAAGACAAGCTCCAAATGAATTCAGAGTCTCCAAAGGGGTGAGCTGAATCACACTGCGCAGCCCCTCTGGGCCCGTCAGCATTTGCTACTTTTGAAGCTCTGAGGACACTTCCTATTCAAACTGAGGCTTTGAGATGAAAAAAACATTCTCTAGTCCGTTCTGAAAGCCTTTTGAGCAGGACACGTGGTCCTAAACTGTACAGTTTTACACAACAATCTTTTAAAAGGATTGAAATTATTACTGAGCCAAAATCCTAAATAAAATATGGCTCAAACCATTCCTATTTAGTTCTGTAGAGATTGAGATAAGCAGGCACAATTTGCTTTAAAGAATCCACTTGGTGATTGCAAATTGTGCTTTGAATCTTCAGTGTTTGGCACCTGCAAAATAGGCAGATTTGTGACTGAGAAGTTTCTCGCTCCGTTTAAACAGTTTAAATACGGAAGCAAAACAATAATCAGCTCACCTGATCCAGAATTATACAGTAGGCTTTACTCCAGTGAAAATAAAACAATAATGTTAGATGTTGTGCAAATCTGCCTTTTGTTAAGCTTGATTCTAAAAAAAAAAAAAGGTACTTATTTTTATTGGCCTTCATTTGCTTGAAAATAGTAATTAGGTGTGACGTCTTTAGTTAGTGCTTTCACTGCAGGACCGGTTTCAGAGCACGACAACAAAGCAAAACTGCAAACTGATTGCTCTGCTGGGCTAATGTGCCTGCACTGAAAGTCAAGGGTTCTCCCACACTCATCAGCGAGGTGCGACTGATTCAGAGAACATTTCACTTCAGCTCTATTTTTCAGCCTGTAGTGGTTTTTTATCTGCCCCCTCCCTTCAGTCTCAGTCAAGAAGCTCATACCAAGTGCACATGCTCCTCCCACTCAGAGGAGCTGGTGCTGGGAAGCTGGTCAGACGCAGAGTCACAATGCGGACTGTCAGCATGGCAGCTCTTTGAGCCTGAGTGCTCAGCAAGCTCTCTGCTTGTGTCAAGAGTTGCCATGTAAGGCAGCGGCATGGTGCCCACCCCCACTAGATCCAACTGAGTTGGCCTCTCAACTGCGCAGTCCTTCTCCTTCGTGTCACTATTTCTGTGAGTGCAGGTGCCCGCATCTGCTGGCGTTTC